ATGTTCCTTAAATTAATCTAAAATGTGATGTACAATAATTTCCTTTCTAAACTCTAGTCAAGGAACAGCCTGGAGGAAAAAAGCATCAACACTAGGAAGGTAGTGTTTCAGGCCTCGGGAGGCAAAGAGATCTGTGTGATTTACTCGATTAAAACCATAGAGCTGTTTAACTCGGTTCCTTTATTAGGAAAGCCAATAAAATAAGCCAAGACTTTAAATGTTTACACAACAGACTTCTTTCTGTCTCTCTTTTTCAAGGACAAATTTAACCCAACTGTCTTTCAACACTGTTAGAATATAACCCTTAAAAATAGCACAAGATTGCTGTCAAATGTGGATGACACCAACACAATCTTCATGAATTGCAGGAAGCTGCAATTCTAGAGACTTATCCATTTTGCTTTAGTCTCACTTAGATGGAAAAATACCTTTAGGTTTTCATAACTATTATAAACTTTAACTACTGGGTACATTTATGCATTTACTTGTAGAGCTTCAACAATTTTCTTTTAATGTGCACTCGATACATATCACAAAAGCATACATTTCCTCTACTTGACTTTTCAGAAAATCGCACAAAAAGCTAGAGTCTAGGGTGGGATGGTATAGCACTGTTTCCAGACTCAGCAGAGAGATTTCACCTCCAGGAAATATCTGGTCATTAGAAAACAGATTAAAATTTTCAGAAATGTACAACATAAAAGACTAGCAGCAAATGAACCTTAAAAACTATCTGTTCCTCTCCTCCCTTCCTCCCTCTCTCCCTCCTTCTCTTCCTTTCTCCCTTTCTATCTCTCTCCCTCCCTCTCTCCCTTTCTCCCTCTCTCTTCCATATAGGGAGTATGAGTTTCAAAAGGGATAAATGATTTCTTTAAAGCCACATTTCATTACAGAGACAGATTTCTGACTTCAGTATTTGCAAACTTTGCTATGAGAATAGTTCAACTAGGCAATGAGTTGTGATGTGCAGACTAAAAATTCGTATCTTATGCATCTTTTGGGTATGTTTACATTCACTCAGTGATGATTATTTCTGCAGCCTGAGGTTACAAAACAATAAATACCATGCATGTGTGCGAGGCTTATATGTAAGAGACTTGACACAATCTTGAAGCTCAGCACTACATACACGCATCAAATCGATCCACACTTTGTGCAGATCCAGGACAGCACTGATAAGGAAAAATATTTTATAAACTTCTAGTTTGCTAATGCTAATCAAGCAGTAATTCATAAATTCAAGTGAGTATTAGTCTTCAGACGGTTTGGTCATGCATATTTCTTATTCATTCAACCAACATTTACTGAGCATCCACTATATACTAAGCATCTACTATGCAGTTGGAGCAGGACTACAAGTTTCTGTACTTTTAGACTTTATAATTAAGTAGCTGAGGCAAAAAAAATAAATGAACAAAAGAATTTCATTGTAACAGAAGTGCTATTGAAGCAGTTAAGATGGATGATAATGAGAAAGGTTCTACTTACACGAACTAAAGCTCTAAGATGAGAAAGACAGTGATATGAGAAGTATTATCACAGATAAAGGGAAAGGCCAAGGAAAAGGCAGTGACAATGGGAACAAATGTGGGATCTGGTTGCACCACAGTGTACACTGAGCAGTAAGGTGATGAAGACACAGGATGACAAAGAAATTTGAAATATTTTTCTTATAGATAATGTGAAGACAAACAACTAGACAAACTCTAGTTGAAAATGAGTCTGAATGCCCCTGCTCAATTTAATGGTACAATAGGAAAGCCCCAATGATTCTAAATCCATAAGAATTTGCATATTCCAAATACATTTTGAAAATAAGGCTCAGGTAAGTGCTCAAAGATGACTTTTCCTATCAGAAAAAAACTTGCTGAAGCATTCTGACCACTGAGAATTCAGAACTACATTCTGTTTAAAAAGCTGAATGGGTCTGTAAATAAATTACTGGTCAGGAGATAAACCATCTGCCAAGTATCAAGTGTGAACTCACAATGACTAATGACTTAGTCAAGTGACAAATATTCTTGTTATGAGATGCATTTTTTGTATTAGTGCAATCTATTTATGTGGTATGAGTATCATATTTGCTATATGCAGAAAACAGTAAATACATATATGTGTGTATGTATATATCTGTAAAATGATCAATAATTTACTAGAGAATTAGGCAGCCCTATAAAGCAAAAAATCTATACATATAAAAATAAAGAGCTTGGGCCACCTTAGATTGGAAGATATGAAATTCTGGCTTTGCAATTTTAGCCCAAGCTTCTAAGCCTCTCTGAACCTCATGCCACTCTCAAAAAAGATGGGTTACTTACTACTACACCTTACTTGGTTGATGGGATAATAAAGAAAGAATTTCTAAGTGTCTAGAACATAGAGAAAACCTAATAAATTTAAGCGTTATTACCTCCCAATGTGTTTTCTAATAAGCAAGTAGCATTTACAATATGCGAAATGCAAACATACAAATTGCATTTCCTTTTTTAATCAAAATTTTGTGGTATTGTTCATATAAGAAAAGGTAAGACAAAGAAGTGGTTTCTAAAGCTCCTCATATGCCAAACTCTGAGTTAAGACTTGTGTTTCTAATTGTTCTGCTGCCTGAAACTATCTCATTTTGAGTATTAAGCTTCTCTATAGTTTCCTTCATCTCAGACACTCACGTGCCCAACACAGTAAATCACAGTTAATTGCATGTCTTAAATTAAAAGACAAAAATAATGCACAATTAATTGCAGGAAACTGTCAGTTGGTGAATGAGTCTCACTTATTACACCCTGTGCACAGGATGTATGCCAAGTATGCATCTCAAGCTATATGCCTGGGTCCTTGACACTGAGGGGAGGAGCAGGGGTACAACTCTGCAGAGCAGTGTGGGTTGAAAAATCAATTGCTTTAAAACCCTCACCATTGCACGTTGTAGCACTGATAGCATTCACTACAAACAGTTTCAAAACAGGACTGTGTATAATTATAAATAATTAGAAAGCACTAAAATTCTCATTGATAAAGGATTGTACTGACACTAAGTTTGGGCCAGTAATGGAAAAATTTCAGTTGTTACAAATACTTAATAACATGAGAAAACATTCAGTTATTCTTATATAAAAATATCTATAAAGTAGCATGTTTCTTTTTTGGGGGTATATAAGAAGCAGACGAAGCAAGAAAGGAAAAGGAAGAAGATAGATACAATTGGATTGTTAACATTTGTCATCTCTGAGTTGTTCATACTTTTTAAATATACTAATTTTCTTTAAAAACAATTTTAAGTTTATAAAATTATGCTTTAATATGTTTCTGAATATGATATTATCAAATGTCAATTTTAAAGATTCGTGAGACTCTTCTAAGATGAATTTACCAGGATATTATAATAAAAACATCTTAAAAAATTATGCCCAGAAAGAACCTACATATAATCCCATTGAGTGCAGTTATGTAGACAAATCCTTAGTCACATACACAAATAATTCTAACAAAATATATTTTATAAACAACAAAAATATGTTCGATACAATTAAATGTTCAAAATAATAATTTATTATAACAAATATTTTATAGTGTATTAGCATGCCATAAGAACATCACTGTAAATCCTTTTAAATTTACTGTTACTGATAAATTACAAAATATGTTCAAGGCAAATCTACTAACCTTGGATTTCAGGAACTGCAAACCTTTTCTCCTTCATCAACCCTCCTCCCATTATTTTCTAATCTATAATAGAAAGACTTTACACCTAGCCACCTATAATCTAAATGCCAGATTTGGCAATAAACAATACACACAGAAATACACACACACACACAGAGCGTAATTATTTTCATCAGAGTAGATGAAGACAGACAACCAAGTTTTGGAATATAACTCTAATCATGCTAAATTTTGTTTAATTTTTTGAAGAAAAAAAATACACCAAACCCAACAGAGTACACTCACTCAAAGGCATTAATTCAACTGTCTACTAACCTTGAAATGAGAAATAATCATTTCCCATTTTCCATTATTTGTTCGGGATTGGAGTGGGAAATGACAGTCACATTTCAGCAGAAGCCCATGTGCCAACCTCAGGCATCCTTATGTCTCAAGAGTAATATTTTCATTCCATTCTTAATGGAACAAATTTCTAATCGGAATATGTATTCAAAAATAATTGAGGCAATGCGATGTCAACATATCAGGCTGCCATCAGGCATCGTTCCCCAGTGCCGGGCACCAACTGAACAGGATGCTGATGGGATAGAGAGCCTGGGTAATGCAGAAACATCAGACTCTATGGAGGAAAGGGGATCTGGGGAGGAGGCTACATCAGTTTTACTCCCCCTTGGATGCTCAAAGACATGTCTGGAGGAAATTGTCTAAGTTGTAAAAGACCAAAACTTGTAAGGAAGGAGTAACTTATCATGGGCTGACTCTAACTGAAATTTAAACAGGAGTAAGTGTCTGCATTTATAATGTTAAAAAAATACTCCTTCTTGAAAGGTTAAACTGTCCCTAGATTTCTAAGTTATTAAATCCTTAGGGCAACATACACTACTGAAAACTGTGCATCCTACAATGCCCTCAATGGTCCAGAGGTTTCACTTCAGGTTTCTTCAAGTTGGCAAAATATTGGTTCATTCTGAAGCTGGATGATGGGCTATACCATTCTTTTACTTTTGAATATGATTGATAATTTCATAATAAAAAGTTAAAAAAATCCTTGAGTATATTATGCTCAAAAATTTTCTGACTTTTTCTTTGATAATATATACTGAGATCTGATTTTTCCTTATGATTATTTAAGAAAGACTCAAAGAAATGACCTAAATTTTATAAAAACCCACCAACCATTATATTTTATGTTAGAAAAGACAGACAAAAATTCTTCTTTCCAGAAAAAATTTTACCATGATCTATGATGACAGAAGTGCACCTAAACAAATGCAGTGCCACCATCTGCCTGGTATTCTCACAGGGTGACAAAATATACTGGTAATTAACTGTTTTCCTACCAAAATCTGCCAGCTTCAACTCCCCCGTGTCACTGATCAGGAGGTTCTGTGGTTTCAGGTCTCTGTGCAAAATATAACGCTGGTGGATATAAGACAGCCCTCGCAGTAACTGAAATAAAAACAACTGAAAAAAAATAAGGAGACACAAGTTAAAATCTGAATTCAGATAAATGCCAGTTTCTACATACAGTCTACATTTAATGAAAATGGGGACTCACTGCTAAAGTTCCTACTAAATTATTAAACATAATATGCAATACTGTCATATAAATACTAATTCATTAGACAATAAATCTGAAAATTTCTAAAAACCTATTATATCAACCCACATTGATACCTCCTCTACCAGAGAGAGCTATAATCTGTGTTTCATAAATTAAGCCAAATGTAAAATATCAGTTCTTTATATTTTATTTCTATAGGCCTAAAATGATGTCTAATAGAGAAAAAAGGACAACTGTAGAACTGTTTACTATGTTTATGTAAATATAATATGCAAAAATGACATAAACATGGTGCCCATGAACTTACGCATTAAAATACTTCAAGGAATAGACAGTTAAGATGATTTAAAATAATTAAAACAAAAACAGTCACATGGTCCACTTAATACTACATTGTAATTATACTGCTTTTGCACATATGGCCATAGGGATTTGGCTGATACCTAAAGATAGATGTGTACCTTCACTAATTACAGAGCAGACCTATGCTAAAGGGAGAAGAAATGGAATACAGAGATGTCAAATATCCAGGAGCAATTCTTTTGCAGGATATATAACTTAATGGCCTCCTCTGTGAAGTTTCTATTGGACCTTATCAAATGTTTATAATTTGATAACAAAAAGTGTAATTCATTAGTCTGCTTATGAAAAAGAGGCTAGTTTAAAACAATTTACTTGTCAACTTAATCTAATTGGCATAGTATTTTAAAAAAACAAAAATAAAAATAAGTGTTCTTACTTTTAAGTGCCAACAGTATTTAGTCTATATAACCAGCTAGTAATAAAAGACAATTTCAAGGACTTTTAAATGAGTTTGAAGACGGACAATATAAGGATTCTGGATCATACAAGTGCAAAAGATTAGCAGCTCCTTGAGTATCACAAAAGCTGGCACTTTTGGGATATTCCAACTAACTATAGGCCATAAAAGCCAAGTATACATTTTTACAGTAGAATTAATTGATCTCAAAACCTTTGTGTATAATAATATGCATGGGGCAATGACAGGCTGTTGTCATGGTTTCAGAGTCTAAGTACCAGAATGTGGAAATCTGTATTACTGTAGATTAAAATACTGCCTTAAAACCTCAGAACACAGGAAGCAAACATCTCTCTAGACTTCACCTGCTCTTAACCTTTCTTGTGTACAAGATGGAAAGTCTTGATAACTCCACCATTAACAGCAGCTTCCAGTGTCATTCCTTACTTCTGTCTCCTACATCCTGAAATTTCAAATTTATAACTTCTAAGAATATCCACTCTCCTTTATACAGAAGGAATAAAGGATGGGCAAATTAAGGCAAACACACACAAAGGCAGACTATATAACAAATTCAATTAAAAAAATAAGCAGTTTGGAAGGAAACAGTTTGGAATTCTGAAGGTGCTAACTGATCTTTGGAACCTAGCAGTGATGTAGGTTGGTTGTCTATTTACACTACAGCAATGCTTTTTAATTTAATAAACACATAACTGTCACCACACACTGGCTGCTTTCCTATGCATTGCAGAACACCATCTCATTTAACGTTTGACAACTGCAATGAAGTAGGTCTATCATAATCTCCAGTATAGTGAATAAACTGAGTGGAGTTTCTTAAGATCACACAACAATTAAGGGCACAGTCACAGTTCAAACTCAGACAGTCTGATTACAAATCCTCTGCCATCAGTCAGCCCACTATAGGAATTATGGCCAGAAATCAACAAAAGTAGGCAAAATGTTTGTACAGAAGCTGCTTTCCCCACTGACAGGTTAAAATATGAACATCAAACAACATGGCCTCTAAGGCCACTAAACTGGGAATAGATTCCAACTGGGTGCTCAGTCATTATTACTCTACACTCTCTGGACCCAAGCAAACTTTGCCCACACCCACTCTCAGAGCATGGTGCCCCTCAACTTGGTAACTGCGTCTTCAACTCATTCCTATCAGAAAAACCCTCTATCCTTTGCCTACGAATCTCCATTATTCTTTATGTCTCTTCTCAGGAATCTCCTCCTCCCCGGAGCCTTCCCTGACCAAGGCGCTCACTCTCAGCCCCTCTGGTCTGTGTGATGCTCTTTCTCTGTCCTCCCTGTATGGCCTCTGCACATACCTAACCTGTGTGGTATTTACCCTCCCTCCATGGATCATGTGACTCAATCACCTTCGTAAATTGAGTAGTTGGCATTGCTACACCAGTAATGGGATTACCGAATTGAACTTAAAACATCTGTATGGTGGCAAATAAAATAATAATAATAGATATGAAACCCTAGAATATGATTCTCTAGCAGCTAAAGAGAGAAGTAGGAAGGTCAAGCAGTAGCAAAGGGCTCTTCTTTTAATACTCTTGATAATTAGTGAAAATACATAATCCTCATGCTAATCCAGAAGCTATTCAAATAGGATACCACCTAAAAAGAGATTAGGAAAATCAGTATTAGGAAAGAATGCAACTCCACACTGTAGTTGTAAGTGAACACAAGTCCCAAACATGACAAATACAGCCCCAAACAAAGTTTTAGCTCTTTGAGCAATGCACAAAGTTAAATAACAACAAATCTCCATACAGTAAATTCACAGAAAATTTAATGAAGCACCAACTGTATGTTGTAGGTACTGTTATGCAAAAGTGGTGCAAAGGCAACTAGGTATAAGATGTGATCTCTGGACTGAGGAACTCATACTGCATTGGCTTTAACTGACACATGAGCAGATCACTGCCACTTAAAGAGATTTGCACCAGAACGGTAGTGCACACTGAGTATACTGAAGACACAGAGGAGAGAGGCTCTAACAACACAGAAGATTGAGGATTGATTCTGTCATTATAGGAAGAATAGCCTGTCAGAAGAAAAAAATCAGGAAACGTGCCACTCTGAAAACAGAATTCATTATGCATAAAAATTTAAAAGGAAACTGACTTGAGCATTCACTAGACACAGAAGTTGAAATGAAGACATGATAAAGCCCTTGTTATCTGAGGGAAATGATCAGGAGACCAAGCAAGCAGGTATAACATAAATTCAGAAGAAAAAATAAACAAATAAAAGAAGATAAAACACAAAATTATTAAACTACCAACCTAATACCATAAAAATAATGGTGGCAAAGGGACAATAAAAGATGTCATTGAAACCATGTGGTTAACAGCATATGCGCTGGTAGGTAGAACTTGGAAGCCCTAAGGACTCAGCCCCTTGCTGAGTTAAATGAATGCCCCATGCACTATTTGGGAAGGTGTAGAGAAATCAATCTTGGGGATTTCTTTCTTTAGACACACAGAAGAATGCCTAATCTCCCTATTCAAATTTTCAAGAAAGTCACTTCTCTTGGTTGTTGTATAAACCATGTTACAACTATCAATCTTGATTTTCTAAATACCAGAGGACAATGTGAAAACAAGAAGGACCACCAAAGAGGGAGCTACTCATAGAAAGAGTAAGAATCAGCTTTGCTGAATGAAATCTCAGGTATTGAAAACAAAAGGGAGGCTAGTATTAACTAAAGGCTCAGTCTAGAAGCTGTTCCCAAGAACTTTAACATATACTGCTTAATCCTCTCTTAAATTTTGTATTTTTCTTTTCTTTTTCAATGTATGAGAAAACTAAAGCTCTAAAAAACCACAGAACTTACTCAAAGCTATTTACCATCACACAGCATTTAATGTGTGATGTTTCTTAGAGGCTGATGTTTACTAAATACAAGGATGAGTATAGTTATATACCCAAATAACCAAAGTGCTTTTATTTTTTAATGAACTTTGTAAAAGCCTCAATTAGCATATAGTACAACAAACACAAGTTTTGTGAATTTCAATTTCTGCTATTTAAAATCTCAGAAATAAAAGCATGACAAAAGGCAATGTGATGTTGTGATGTTGATAAATAATATTAGGAACTGTCTTCCCATCTCCTACTGTAGGAGCTCATCAAAAGGTCTTCCAAAGAACACTTTGTCAACTCAGGATATATACTCAGTTTTTATGAAAGGAAATTCCTCCAAATCCATCAGTATGATCACTAAAGATTTTATATTCTAGTTTGAGTATGTTCAATTTCTGTAATAAAAATGCCAATGAGAAATGCCTTTAAAAGCAATGATTTGATGAGTAGGGATACTTTTGTCATCAATAAATCTATTTTTAGTCCCATTGTCTTGCTATCTCCTGCAGGAAGCAGTCTACCCTCTCAGTGCCATGACACATACTTCTCTGGAGTATCTCTTAATACTTCATCTATTCCCTTCTGAAATTCTTTAAACTTTAAGTAAGGTAATACATATTGGCCTCAGGTATTGGATCACAACATTTAAAGTAAGTTGATAAAAAACAAACAGTACTAGACATAATATAGTATGTTTACCTCTTAGAAGAGTTACTGGCACTTATACTGACCAACAAGATTTATAAATAACCCCTTCCACTAAAGTCTAAACATGTGAGTTCAGATGCTCATTTCTTCAATGTCTAGAGTCATTATGTTGCAAGAATGGTCAGAAATACATGGATTCTTTAATATGTGTGGTTCCACTTGATATGAAAAGCAAAGAACTTGCAGTTTTTCAAGACATAAATGTCCAGGGTCTCCTAGGGATGACAGAGGACTACCAAGTCTACTAGTAAGAGCTATTAGCAATGGACTGTGTGTCCTCGTGGCACACCTGCCATATATGACAAAGACAGCTAAGCTACTTTCCTGTCATCTGGAGTTGTTTCTTATCTCTGGATCTTAGGTTTCTCATCTTGAAAACTACTTGAGTCTTAGATGCCAGTAATAGTCATTTACATTATAAATTTATATCATTCCATCATTTTGTGAAAAATAGAAAATGGATAAGACTGTATAAATCAAACTATAATATCTGCCATTTACTGAGAACTTACTTTGATAGACAATGTGTCAAATATTGTA